TGTCAGCAGGCGTTTGACGAGCTTAAGCAATATCTAACATCTGCACCCCTGCTGTCTAAACCTGTGGAAGGGGAGAGTCTATACATGTATATGGGAGTTACAGGAGAGGCGGTGAGCTCCGTTTTACTCAGGGAAGAAAATAAGAATCAAAAACCTATCTGCTACGTGAGCAAGGTTTTACAAGGTGCAGAGCAGAACTATCCATTAGCAGAAAAGGCGGCATTTGCCCTGGTGTACACAGCTCGTAAGTTGAGGGCTTATTTCCAATCACACCAGATTGTTGTCTATACCGATTTGCCGTTGAGAAAAATACTGCAGAAACCTGAACTCTCAGGTCGGCTTGTTGGATGGAGCATCGAGCTGAGTGAATATGACCTCAAATTTCAGCCGCGCACAACCATAAAAGGTCAGGCCGTCGCAGACTTTCTGGTAGAGTGCATCTCAGCGACAAAGGAAGAAAAAGGACCTGAACACCCTATCTGGGTTTTATATGTTGATGGAGCAGCTAACATAGAGGGATCAGGTGCTGGAGCTGTGTTAGTGGGCCCAGATGGCTTTAAGTCTGAGCACGCACTAAGGTTTAAGTTTCAGACGACTAATAACGCTGCAGAATATGAAGCCCTCATTTACGGACTAAAGGTGGCATCCAAGCTAAAGGTACAAAGCATTTAGGTCTTTAGTGACTCTCAGCTCGTGGTAGGCCAGGTCAATGGCAGCTGTGAGATCAGGGACCCCCAACTCGGCCGTTATGCCTCTGTGGTCAACAGACTGAAGTCAATGTTTGTTCTTTTCCAAATTGATAAAATACCCAGAGCAGATAACCACCGAGCCGACGAGCTGTCCAAGTTGGCCTCCTCGCAGGACATTAACCCACAGAGGTCAACAATTGTCGAGATACTTGACGCCCCAAGCTACACCGACCTCGCTGTCGAATGTCAACTATTGAGTACAGACCCCTCTACACCGAGCTGGACCACCCCGCTAATAAGTTATTTACAAAGTGGTGAGCTACCTGAAGACAAATCCGATGCAAAGCTGGTTAGACGCAGGGCGGCACATTTCACTTTGATAGACAACCGGCTCTACAAACGAGCAGCCTCAATGCCCCTATTACGCTGCCTTACTCCTTATGAAGCTGAATACGCTGTGAGAGAAGTCCACGAAGGAGTATGTGGCACGCACATCGGTGGCAAGACTTTAGCTCGGAAACTCCTAAGACATGGGTATTACTGGCCCACTATGGTCGAGGACGCGCAGAGCTATGTCAAAAAGTGCCCGACCTGCCAGTTCAGTGCTGATGATATTCACATGCCAGGTATCTGAACTCATTCTAGAGCTTATACAAACTTAGTAACTGCCTATGAACTGAGCATAAGTCCCTTCCTTGAAATAGGGGAAATGCTATCATCTCTCACGTCTCCCTGGCCCTTTGCTCAATGGGGTGTCGACCTGCTCGGCCCTTTCGTCAAAGGTAAAGGAGGCTGCACTTTCCTGGTCGTTGCGATAGATTACTTCACTAAATGGATAGAAGCTAAACCGTTGTCCACGACAACAGAAAAGAAGATAGAAGAATTCTTATTCAATTCAATATTGTGCAGGTATTCTTTAGTGACTTAAGTCATAAATACAAAATACATGCAAAAGTAGTTCCTAGCTCAGCTCGGTCATCTGGTGCAGGTTTGGCATACCTCAGCGGATTATTGCTGATAATGGACCCCAGTTCCGAGCAGCAGCACTGAGATCGTTCTGCAAGGACTATGGCATTGAGCTCTCCTTAACATCTGTGTACACTCCACAGTCAAACGGACAGGCCGAGTTTGCCAATAAAATCGTTTTGCGAGGCCTCAAGACGCGCGTTATAACCGCGCGTTCTAATTGGGTCGACGAGCTCAATAAAGTACTTTGGTCATGTCGCACGACACCCAGCTCGGCCACGGGCGAAACTCCGTTCAGCTTGGCATATGGAGCCGAGGCCGTCATCCCTGTCGAAGTCGGTCTACCACCTATTAAATCAGATCGTCAGGATGATCAGAATAACGGGCAGCTCCTAAGAGAAAACTTAGACCTAGTGGAGGAAGTCAGGGAAATGGCTCGAATTAGGAACATGGCACACCAAAGCCGTGTGGCAAAGTTTTATAACAAGAGAGTTCGAGCTCGACAGTTTCAGGTCGGCGATCTGGTTCTCCGCAAAGCTGGATTAACCAATGCCTATTCGCATATGGGCAAGCTCGCCCCTAATTGGGAAGGCCCTTATATGGTTATTAATATTAAACGACCTGGGTGTTATCAATTAGCAGATTTACAAGGTCGTCCGTTGTCGTTCATATGGAACATACACAATCTTAGAAAGTTTTATAGTTAACGTGTATATTATTAGTGCTCAGGTCGTTACTGATCATTTGTAAACAGCGACTTATTGAACATTCAACACAGAAATTCCAGAACAAAAGACTTGAATTTGTATTTCATCAATGAAATGTTACAAGTGTAGTACATTGAGTAAATAAATTCATTGATTAACACAAACATACTTATTGAACATTTTATAAAGAGCCTAGTCATCCGTCAGGTCGACGGGAATAGATGCGTCATTTGGGGCAGTAACAGACCG